GTCCCCCCACCTCTAACCTCCCCCCCCAACCCTCTCCCCAGAGATCTGCTGGCAGCGAGCACCCAGGGAATACCGCGACTTCTACTACGCGGTGACCACGGAGGGCATCATCCACTGCATCACCAACTGCACGCCCAACATGCCGACCACCATGGATTGCCACTACGGCCAGTGCCACGTCACCCGGGCCGGTCCCCAGTGCTTGTGAGTGCCACCACCGTTGCCCACGGCCATGGGGGTTGGCCAGTGGAGGACTCTCCATCATCCCTACTCCCATGGCGGACGGTGGAAGGAGAGGGTGAACATGATCCTGTCTCCTTCCCACAGCTGCCAGGATGAAGCCCTGTACTGGTACACGGGTGACCAGTGTTCCGGGCGCGTCAGCAAGTTGGCCATGGGATTGGGGTTGGTGGCCACCGTGTTGCTCATCAGCTGTATCGTCCTCGCCGTGTTGCTGGTCAGGGGCCGCCGGAGGAAGTACAAGCTGAGGTAGAGGAGCCCAGATGCTTGGGTGGCCAGTTGCGGGGGGGGGAGTGTCTTCCAGTTTGGAGGAGGGTGTGGCACCAGGATGCTTTGGTTCCCAGTTGGGTGGGGGGGTCTTCCAGTTTGGAGGAGGGTCATCACCGGGACACTGGGGCTCTCTGGGGGGAAGACCCACTCCTCTGGTTCTCTGCCCCCCCCGACTCTGAGACACCTTCTTGCTGCCCACCCAGTGACTTTCCACCCTCCACTGGTGGCAACTGGTACGAGGCCGATGACTTCGCCTGGCTCTCGCCCGATGGTTTCCTCTACCGCAACATGGCAGCCGACAGCGCCCTCGCTGACCCCCAACGCCAGCTCAGGTTGACGGACGCCACCGCTTGGAGAAGACCCCCGAGCCATCCAACCGCCCCCCACCATCTCCCCAGAGGTGATGACCAGCAACGCAAATTCACTCCTTCGTTGGAGCTGGTGGATACCTCCAGCCCGGTACGTCTCCACCTTCTTCTCCAACAGCACCCACCAGCCTTCCCTGAGGACCGAGGACCCATGGGACACCTTCACCCCCCCTTCTCACCCCCTTCCTTCTCCTCCTTCTCCCCCACCAGATGAAGATCTCCAGGCCAAAACTCACCACCCAGCTATGATGGGGGGACACCACCCAACAGAGGGACACACCCCATCCCCCCGAAGCGGGAAGAAGAACAGAGAACCTCCTCAACCTCAACGCAATGGGTCCATCTCTCCCAAGAGGAGACCCCCAAATCCACCCGGCGTGGCCGGACCACCGGCATGCGGGTCGTGCCGAAAGCCGGAGCGAGATGGGGACAACCCTCCCCCCCCATATTATTTATTATTTATTGGGACAATGAA